TCTCTCTCTCTCTCTCTCTCTCTCTCTGATACTTTCAGAAGTCGTAAAAGTTTTTTTATGAATTATAAAATCGTTATTAGATCTAGGTATCTTTATTACGTCTTCTATAATAAAATAAATAAATAACATTTTATTGATCCATATAGGGAAATCTGCGTTATACAAATGTAATGACAAGCATACATAGGCTACATAAATAGATGATTATGAATACACAATACACATAGATACAAACAGAAATTACACAATATTACACCAATACAGAACAGTTTTACAAACATGCCATATTGCTGGTCACCCTATTTTTCGAGCGAGAGTTGTCGTTTACTCAAGGACACACCCCAATGACCACCCGCCTAAAGCCCTGTTACTGTCGTACTAGTGCATGTATCATCGGTAGGCCTACTTGTTGAAAATCATTTTTTTTTTTAAATCTAGATTTAGGTCATTTTTAATTTTGAATGTCAAGGGGTTGGTCAGAAAAAAATCACATTTTTCCCCTTCATCATCATTTCAAAATGATAATTTAATATACATTAATTCAGTAAGTTATAATATTTGTCTCTCCCTCTCTCTCTCTCTCTCTCTCTCTCTGCTTGCTGTCTGCTTTGGTGATAAGTTGTTGTCAGCTCTTGACACCAAACACCTACGTACTACAATAAATAACGTTTGTCAATTTATGAAACATTAACAACCCCCCGGGGCGATGCCACTGACTGAAGTGTCTTTGGCCATTCCCAAAGGGAATTGTAAATGGGCTGATCTAACAATGTCATGCTCATAAGTGTGCCCGAACTACAACAGGGAACTACTGCTTTTTCTTTCCTAATCCTTACTGTCGTCATTTTCCTCTACTTCTTTTGTATGTTTGTCACACTCTTGTGACCCGCTATTTCCGGGGTGCCTTGATAGTCGAAGCAGATTTGTGCTGTTGAAGCTAGAGAGGTGAGCAGAGTAGGTCTGATTTCCTGTAAGGACTTCTCTGTTGACATCCACCCCTTGGCGCTCATATGATCTTGTGCAGTTGCGAGCGCCGTAAAACCTCTACTAAAACTAACTAAAAACGTTAACACAAAAACAACATTCACAACTGGTGTTAGAATTTAACAGCATAATATATATTAACAACAATATTGCGTAAGCCATCGCTTTTAACCAGACACCTTCGTATAATGCAGTGGCGTCGGTGGCCTAGTGGTTAGGCGCTCGGACTCGCAACCGTAAGGTCGTGGGTTCGAATCCATGTCCTTGGGAAAGGCACTTTGCACTTATTTTCCTCACTTCACCCAGGTGGAAATGGGTACCCGGCTATAGACAGTGAACGATCTTGTCAGTTTGATAGT